GCCTCCCCGGGTCACGGCAAAGCGGGCAAAGAAGCGAAAAAAGGCTGCTGCGCCCAGATCAACCCAGCCCCCCACCCCAGCCAGGCTTTTCTTTCTGCCCTCTTGTGAACTAGTTTCTCTGTCTACACTTCAGAAGTCCCTGGGAGGTGTGGATAGATCCTCCATCACGGCCCGGGACATTGTTAGCTGTTAAGTTTATGTTTGTGGCGCCTGAGCTCAAACAGTCATTCAGTGGCTTGCTCTCTTATCAAGAAAACAACAATCAGAAACAATCAGTAAACAGGATCTCTTTCCTGCACCCTTTATTAACTACTTGCAGCTCGACTGAGCCATAGAGCCACATATTATAGCTTGAAGGATTTTAAGCACCTATTACAACCCCCCTCTGCAAAATTTCCTTCTGAACGGTTTAAAATCAAAGAATTGAACTGACACGTATTGAAATAATACAGGTTCATCTAACTTGCGGTTGGCTTTCCTCGTTAAACCATTCAGGATACGACTCTCCCGTGACCACCGTCCTCTTTGTTTCTTTCTTTCTGCGATTTTTAAAATGTTCAGAAGGAACTTTTGCAAAGGGGGATCAATGATGGGCACAAATAGCTAATACTTAAAAGTCACTCTGCTTTCTTTTCACTTGTGATCCACATTGAAACGTACACACAGTTTTAAAAGTCCCAAGTACTTACTTTTGATAGATTTGACTCGTCTCAAAATTGAAATTCAGACCCCACATCGTCTACATCTCGTCCAGAAGTCGGGTTTGGGGGGAGGGGGGGGGCGGAGATGAGAGTTAAACCTAGTAAAAAAAAAAATACTGAAATTAGAATGTTTTTTATCTGACCAAAATTCTTGATTACCTTAAATAAGGTTGTTTAAGACCAACACATCAAGATGCCTATAAGCAATCAGCAATACTTTGAAGGCCCGCAGTTATAACACGTGCTGCTCTTTATATGAGCATATATGCTGCTCTTTTATGATATAAAAGACAGGACAGCAAGAGGAGAGGCAGAGCAGCTGGGCTGGGTAATTACCGCCCTTAAAGTAGATGAAAAAGTAGCGAATTGAATAGCAGGAATGGGTGCGTGGGGGGAATGA